TAGGGGAATGCTCTACCTAATAAGTTTTGATATGGTCGACCTGCAGGAAAAAAAAATATATTTAAAATTATATTATTTTAATAAAATATTATTAAAAAATAAAATAACTTTATTTCTACTTTAAAAGTCTTTCTCAGTGCATATTTGTCAAAATAATATATTATTAACATTTATTTTAGCTTATTTTTTATAATTACAATTGATGTATGCGTTTTCAATAATGACTTTTGGTACCTGATCTATTGACTAAAACTCAAAAGATAGATTATAGGTTAAAATTTTAATTTGGTCCTTTTACTTTGATAAAAAAATATTTTAGTCCTTCTACTTAAAAAAACTTCTTTTTAATCCTTAAAGTTTAAATTCTAACCTTTTTTAATTTTTTCATTAAATTTTGATATTAAATGATAAAAATTTGAAAAGGAGCAAAAAACAACTTTTTTTCTAAAGTAGAGGAACCGAAGTGAGACTATTTTTAGTCTCTTTTAGTCATTTTTTAGCCTTTTTTTAGCCCATTTTTTGTTCTTCTACTTTAAAATTTTTGTTATCTCACATGTTACATATGTAAAACTTAACAAATGGATTAAAAAAGGGTCAAATTTCAAATTTTAAGGATAAAAAAAAGAATTTTTTAAGTAAAGAGACAAAAGAGGTTTTTTTCATCAAATAGAGAGATCAAACTAAAAAGACCAAAATAGACATTTAACCTATAAACTCAAATGCCTTTCGGCTAATTTACATTTTTTCGATTATTATTTGTTGATATATTATATAAAAACTTATAGTTTTCTTCTCATTGAGTCAGTGTGTGGCTTCCACTCTTATCAATGGGTTTTAAGCCTCTCGTTTTAATCATCAACGAGAGCAAAAAAAAAATTCACTTTTGAAGCTCCATGGACCGATTGAATTCTAGAAGGTTGATTATAAAACCAGTTTGAGGATTCATGTTGATTTTAAACAACATTATACTAGTTTTGATTTTCAAAGGTTGAAACTGAAATTTATTATTAATACAGGATATCTAGTCCAGGACAGTTGTGGTTGAACTGGGCTCATTGAGCATCCCTGAGTTTGTTGACTAAAATTGGTCAAGGCTTGGCGAGGGCAAGGTAGGTAGAACAGATAATTAAAGAAGATGGCGCACTCGGTTGTTGAAAGCACCCAGAAGTTATGGGATACATGGAATATCATAACACTGGTTATTCTGAGCCTATTGCTGCAGTTTTTTTTATGTCTCTTTGCACCGTTGAGGAAACAAAGAGGGGGGAAATGGGTTGTGATAATCTGGTTGGCATACTTGCTTGCAGACTGGGTTCCTACATTCACTATTGGCCTTATCCTCCAAGCTGAAAGCAGTACAATCCTAGTCTTTTGGGCCACCTTTCTTTTGCTGCATCTTGGTGGCCCCGACCAAATTACCTCCTCCTCTCTGGAGGATAATGAACTATGGGTCAGGTACGCACTTGGGTATATGTTCCAACTTGCTTTGACTCTCTATCTTTTTATGCGTTTGCTAACGGATCAGAAGGGTCAAGAAACTCCTGGGCTCCCAATTTTCGTGGTGTTATATGTAGGAGTGGCCAAATGTGGAGAGCGGATCTATGCTTTTTATCAAGCAAGTTTTGACCGTTATGGAGAGCATCAACATTATTTATTTCGAGGAAAAATTGAAGTTACTAATGATGAGAGCGAACGTTCCTGCAATTACACTTTAGGAGAGGAATTATCGCCCTATGGTACTATCAAGAGTCTACTCGTTGGGCCTCTCCTGTCTCCAGGAAGACGTAAACGTATGAGGGCAGCCTTTCTTCGAAAGGGGTCAACAGACATCCTTTTGATGTTAGAGATTGAGCTAAGCCTCTTATATGAAGTTCTTCACACCAAGTTACCGCTTCCCGGGTCCATCCCTAGTTGGAGGTGTGGATTAATCCTTTATCGGTTTCTTTGTCTTGTTTTACTTTGGACGGCCTTAACAACATTCAGGCCAAGTGCCGAGAACTACGTGTTAGGGATGTTTGAACTTTGGCTAACCTATGGTTTGTTGATTGGGGCTATAACAATGGATATCATATCTATCGGATTTTTAATTTTATCCGATTGTAAATTTCTATGTATCCCTCCTGGAAATTTAAGCGTTGGAGAAGTAAAAGCTACGACCTGGAAACTGAAGTGTGGAAAGGGGCGTAGGTGGTCAAAAACAATCCCCCAGTGCAACTTTATAACACACAATGATTATCCAAAACCGTCGAATTACGTTGCATCCATTCAGACTATTTTGAAGGCCATAGGAGTATTCCAATGCCTGTCTTCTCAAAACTTGAGAGAAGACAGGGAATGGCGCTTCATTTTTGAAGAAGTGAGGAAAAAGGCTTTGCAGGCAGAGACTGTAGAAATGGGCAAGAAGATTTGTTTAAAAAGAGGCGATGGAATTCTTGACACCCATGAAGAGTATAGGCATCTCCGCTGGAGCATCAAGGAATTAGATTATACCAAAAGCCTTCTAACGTGGCACATAGCCACTGAAGTTTGCTTCCAAAATGGAGACCAAAGGCCTGCATCCTTCATTATGGATTATAGAGGGATATCCAAATTAGTATCAGATTATATGTTTTACCTTCTACAGATGGAACCCGCTATGATGGCCACTGTGTCTACTGATTGGAGAGATGTACGTAGAGAAGCATGCAGGGATTTGGAATACTTCTGTAGAACTCAGTCCGTTGCAGATAAAATAGATCTATCCAGAGCAATCTTTGCAGAGGGCCCAGAGAGTCCGTCAGTTCGTAGACTAGGCGAAAAATCTGTTTTAGTTTATGCAAATAAGCTTGCCGATCAGCTGAAGATAGGAGCGAACGGCTTGCCGTGGGAGTTAATGAGCCAAGTTTGGGTGGAAATAATGTGCTATGCTGCTATTAATTGTAGGCCAAATGTGCATGCACAACAACCAAGTAAAGGTGGACAACTTCTCACTTTCGTTTGGTTGTTGATGAATCATTTCGGCTTAGGAACTCAATTTGAAACTGATAAACGTGCTGTTGATGATGATGAAGAGACAAGTGTGTGATTCAATGTGCTGTTGATGATGATGAAGAGACAAATGTTGTGATTCATTGTGCTGTTGATGATGATGAAAGAGACAAGTGGTGATTCTCAATTGGATCGGAAAGTTTGATTCCCGTGTGTAAATTTGTATGTGTCTTCTTTGTTATCCTTTCTTAAATCAGTACTTGAGCTTCTTATATATGTTTTAAAAACATGTGTGCATTAATTTCTTTTAATGTGGTGATTCTGTGTATTATACTTTTTTTTGTTCAACTTTAATAAATTTAATTTTTAATTTGGATATTTATTTTTGGATGATATTTAATGTATTTATTTTTATTTTATCATTATTTTAAAAAGATAATTAAAACCCTAAACAAAACCCTAATGCCTCTTTCTTTCTTTTCCCATAACTACTACCTTCTTTTCTTTTGCCTTTTTCCCTAGCCATCGCCCCTCTTCCCTTTGGTGGCTAGGGAGAATGAATAAAAATGCAAATTTCTCCCTCTTTGAGGTTTCTTTCTCCTTTGCGGGAAATTTCTCTCCTTTTGTTGAGACAGTCATTTTTGTACAACTGGAACTCCACCTAGCAGCCTGACGACCGCGCGCCTCATTGAAGTCGGTGGGCTGTTCACCAAATTTAGGGATCGAATCTTCAGTTGTTAACATCTGACAATACCAACATACTAACCATTGCCCTTATAAAAAAAAAAAAAAAAAAGTCATTTTTGTACAACTTAAAGACAATTTGATTCCAAAAGGAAATCCATGTTAACCATATCCTCCCCCCAATCTATAACTTTTCTCACTTCCAACTGTTCTCCAAGATTAGTAAATCTAGAACCTTGCCACGTGTATATACGTTTACATCTTTAATTTGGCAGTTCATTGTATCATATATTTTTCAGTTACTTATGCATTAGAGTTTTGCTTTTCTATATGAATAGTGGTAGTTCAAAGCAAGTGGATTTCTCTCTATTTTTTTTGGTTCATCCTTCACATACTCCTCTGAAAAATGACAAAAGTAGTGGAGCAAAATCAAACAACTTG